CTTTTGTGGTGGTTGGTGTTTTAGCAAGTCTATATAGTTTCATAAATTATACTTTCATTTTCACTCAATTAAAATGAACTTTTAATTTCTCTTGTTATATATTTTTGAGCTCAAAGATAACCTAGAAATGTTATTTGACTCTCAATTACTAGGATTTTCTAGAAGTTTTGTTTTATTACTTCTTACCTGTAATGTAATTATGCTGTGACCATAAAACATATGCTGTATACTTTTAATTTTATGAAATTTACTGGTACTTCTTTTAGTATCCACAACAAAGTCTACCTTAGAGAATGCTTCACATGCATTTGATAAGATTTTGCATCTACACTTGCTATGTGTTCAATAATGTCAGAGTCCCATACTTTCTTGAATTTTTCTACCAAAATTACTTCTTGATATTGACCGATGATTCACTGAGGCTCTGCTCATTGTCTTTAAATCTTTACTCTCATTGTTCTTATATAATTATTATTGATCTGAATTTAAGTTTACTTATCCTTTTTATTTGATCATTTATGTTCTTCAGTTAAGTATGTCAAGCAAAATATTTTATTTTTCACTTCTAGAATTTTCATTAGATTCTCTTAGTAGTTTCCAGTTTCATGCTGAGACAGACACACTCCATGGCACTGTCTTCAGCAATGTCTTTGGGGACTCATTGCGATTGGCATGAGAAGCAAAAGCAAATATAAACAAATGGGATTACATCAAACTAAAAAGTTTCAGTGAAGTGAAAGGAATGATCAATAAAATAAAAGGATACCCTACTGAATGTGGACTGATATCCAACACATATAGAGAAAGAATGCAACTCAATAAAAGAAACAAACAAACAAACAAAAAAAACAGGCAGAAGAGCTAAACAGGCATGTCTCCAAAGAGGCATGTCTGACAATTCCAACACAGAGGTTATCTCTAAGTCTAGTATAATGACTATTTTTCTGGACTATAGACCACAGCTTCCTATTCTTCACACACCTTTAATTTTTGATTAGAAAATGAGTATTGTGAACTATATATTATGCTGATTTTTCTGTTCTATCAGGCAACTAAATTGCTAATTGATATCTTCAAACATGTGAAGCTTAACTATATTTGTACTTTGCTCTTAGTTTTACGATGAGTTCTTCATTCCTAAGGCACAAACATTTTGAGGTTTCAAAAGAAAATCCAAGGTGTGTACTAAGCCTCTCTGTTTGGTGAGGTTCAAATTCCAAACTCTAAAGGCAGTAGTTGTAGACAGCAGGCAGCCGCTGAATTCTCTGCTCAGTCTAATCAGTTGTTTACATATTGTCTTTCATTGGGATTATAGGCATCTCATGTCTGCCTTTGCCCCATAGACATGCAGGTTAGGAGTCTCCAGGGATTAAGGTGAATTTATATACAGAATTGGAACTCTCTTTTGCCTCCCTCCTTTCTGGAATTACCTTCCTTAAATTCTAGCCACTCTGGAAATAGTGAACTCATTTCTGAAGCTTCAAGCCTCTATGACTATGACAAAGAGCTAGTTGCTCTATGACAGGGAAGTAACTAGTTCATTGTGGATTGGGCAGGAGCCTCAGGAGGAAAGCTGTTTAAATGTAGATCTCACCCAATCCAATTTGCTTATTCCTAGGATCAAATTCCCAACATTCCCTGCTTTTTTTCGTAGCCTCTAGTGCCTTCAAACAGTTTTTTTTTTTTTTAAACCTATTTGTGAGAACTTACAATGCTTCTCTTCTGGAGAATTAATTCAATAGAAACACTCCTCTCATTAACATAACTGGTACCCTCTACATTCTAATTTATGAGATTTTGGAGATTAAGAATACACTGTACGGGCTCTCCCTGGTGGCGCAATGGGTTAAAACACAGCATTAACAAGCTCTCTGAAGCCACTGAAGCATGAGTTCAATCCCCGGTCAGGGAGCTGACCCAGAAGGCGTGGCAGATCTCTTCTGACCCGCCCACTGCTACCGTCAGCAGTGTACTTTGTCAATCTACCTGTTCTGCTCCCCACTCTGTTTCTGTTGAAACCTCTTACCCACCACAAATCTGGCCTGTACTTCAGGTCTATAAGCATGAATAAATAAATGGTAAAAAAAAAAAAAAAAAAAAAAAAAACACTGTACTTTTCACCTTTTTTAATACTCATGGGACTTTTGAGAAATATACTCTGAAGGAATCCTCAGCTGTTATCCAGGATGACCAGCCAATGACTGTCTAAAATTTATGGTTAATTCCCTGTTTAAAAGAGGCCAACAAGGAAAGATGCTTCTTCTGGAAATGAATTCTGTCTAGGGACTCCCAACTTTATACTACAAATTAAATCCATACAGTGGACTCACAGTGACTCACAGAATCATGGAATTATACACAGACAGAGGAAATGTATAGGTATTATTGAAGCCAACTCTGATTCACCAAACCACAGGTGTGAAAGAGATATTTTCCTTTTGCCTTGCCTGTATATTATCTGTAGTTTACTTTATTCAGCTTCAATCCTTTCAGCTACTAGGGAGTTCATAATTTGGGGTTTATTTTACTTAGGTTCTCTCTCTCTTTTCCATCTTTATTTTCTGGCATCTGTATACTCCTGGCTCTGCTGACCTGACCTCTGAATCATTTTGATAGTTCTTACTCTAAATGTTAAGGATTGAATTTTCCATCCTCAACTCTACATGTTGAAGTCCTAGCCTCTAGAATTCCCTTTATGGAGGAAGGGTCCTTACAGAGGTAACCAAGCTAAAATGAGGCTACTAGGGTGAGTACTAATCTAAATAACTGGTATTCTTATAAAAAGGGAAACTTTGGATGTTCGAAGTTTCATAAAGATGATGTAAAGAGGCACAGGAAAAAGATGATCATGAACAAGGTCTGGAACAGATCCTTCTTTGAGAGCAAACCAACCATGCTGACTTACCTTGCATGTCTAGCTTCCAGAAGTGCATAATAAATTTCTGTTATTTAAGGCACCCAGTTATGATAGTCCAAGCAAAGCAATGCACTTAGCCTTAACAGGCCAGCCAGGCCTAGTGGATCTGTCTGATTGTCTCTCATGGCTTTTGTAGGTCTCCTAAGATTCAGTGACCTATCAGTATGGTAAATGGGGGGACAGGTGGGAGGGAGACACAAAATATCTAAAAACTTGTGTCCTAGTTTTCCACTAATATACATTAAGTTTCCTCATGTGTAATAAATAGAAGGACAATGTCCCTGCTATACCTATCTGGCCACTAAATTATGCTCAAATAAGATACCACATGAAGACTGCAAAATGCTCCACAAAACTAAGGTGTCTTGAATCCTTGCTCTTTATTCATAATGCACTGCTTCTCTTGCTAATTATAACAGCACCACGGTTAGAGGACCCTTTGAGAGGCTCTAATTCACCACTCTCCACTTTTAAGAGAGATCTTTGCAATCTCAGACTTCATTTCTGCTATTTCAAGAGGCAGGATGTGGAGCAGATCACTAAGGAACTGGTTAGCTCAAAGAGATAGGAACGTGGGTGATGTGTCAAGCATTCACTATTCTCACGTCTCCAGAGGCTTTCAAAGTAATTCCTCAGACAACATATTTATTTTTAAAAAGTACTGAGTTATGGAAACAAATCATTTTAGAGAATAAAGTTTTTAGAAATGTGTAACAGAATGTGCATCAAATTGCATTAACAAAATTAGTATCTACTGAAGCTTTTTAAATGCAGGATGCCTGTAGCTTTCTAACATATTCTGTATCTTTCTTTGTTTTTAAAGTGATTTTGATAACAAGAATTTGGAATTTTTATTTCTATGATAATTAACATTTTTATTAAATGATTTATAAAAAATATAACTTACTCCTCAATGAATTACATTCTAGGTACATATGCATTCTAGGTGCTAGTCTCAAATGTTACTTAAAAGAACTAAATTTCTAAATGTTTCCACTCTTTTCAGTTCTCTAGAAAGCCTCCAGATGGCATTAAAACTCTTTTTCCTATCACATTTTAGAGTATAAGCATTAAAAAATTAAAAAGTATTCTCTCATCTAAAACTATTCACATTCATTATGTATCATTAAAAGAAAGGTGTAACTAGTTACAACTTTTAGGGTAATGTACTAAGAAAGCAAAACATGTAATCATATCCTTTATGAGATATTATAGCTATCATATACAAGCCAAAGGATCTTTCCAGTCTGAGAAATAGACCCTAGACAAAATAAGTCAATAATATATCACAGTCATTTCTAATCAATAACACTTAAAGTTCTTGGTAATAATAATACTGGTCCATGCAGGCAAATTCACAAAGCTGTCTTATAAGATAAAAACATATCTAGCCTCTCAGAAGTGATAAAAATAAAGATTTTTTTAAAGAAGTAAACCTGTTACTGGTTCCTGTGGAGCTGAAATAATTTGTTAGCTTGTGAATTGTTTTATTTAGACTTTGGCATATAAATCTGGCATGGAATTAATCATTAAAACATATTTGGATTCCTTGAGTATTGAGAGGAAAAAGACAAAATGTGAAGAATACATGTTCACAAGTGCTCTTTCTTATCTTTTTAAACCTATGTTTATTAACTCAAACTCTTGAGATTCCAGAAATATTTTTCACATCATTCAGAGGTGAGCTTGCTGATAGCAGGCTTTAAATTGGCACGGGTACTATATAGGTGTGAGGACAGACTATACCCTGCACATGTGAAAAGTTGTGCAATTATTTGTGACAGTTCTGAAATTCTTTAAGCAAATTCTAAAGGGTTTATCTTCCTTCCTCTCTCTAATACACACCCTCAATCTCATTACATTTCTACTTTAAAAAGAGGAGCATTCGCAGTTCTGAGCTGACTCTTATTATTGCTAAAGCACAAGAAAGACCTCAAAATGCATTGTATCCAAACACATTTAAAAAACCATTATCATGAAAAAGAGTCACAGGATTGCTTTCATTATTATTTCCATGCATGGTTTCATAGTACAGACATATTAAAGAACAGTCACCTAAGATAGAAACAGCAAAGAGACTTACGATGTATTTGAGGTGCCATTGTCTGGACTCTCTGGCTCAGCATCACCTTTCTCTTAAAAAGGACGCAGAAAAAACAAAACAAAACAAAAAAACACCAGAGTGTGAGTGTTATAGCCTTTAACATTTAAGAGAGATTAAATGTATTTCCACATTTCTATTAACAATCTTTCAAAATGTGCAGCAGGAGGCTTTTAAAACACTTTTTTTTATTGTCTGAGAACTAGATTTGCAAAAATAGTTTCTTATATGCAATATAATTGCCCAGACACAGATCTGTGAGTAGGTACTAAGGAACTGTTTGCAAACAACCAGAGGCTCAAGTGAGACCCTGCCAAAAGATGACTGTCTTACAGATGGAAACTGTTTCCTTCCACTTCATTTTACAGAAAACTTAAGGAAATAAACCCATCCCAAATCTACATGCAAGACATATGAGCTTTGATGCCTTCTGCTAACACAATCCTAACCAGGTCAGGCTGCATCAGAACTTCGAGAACTTTACAGAACACTGAGGCTGCACTACAGGTACCATGATCCCCAACAATTATACCTAGTTGCATTTTGGATGCAGGTTTTAGGGACTGAGTAGATACAGAATAAAATGTGAACCAGAAACCCACCCTGACCATCTGAGTGGCTAAAGAAATGTTTCTGCAGTTCATGGTCATCAAGGATTTAATGGGGTTTAAGCAAAGGAGTCTGGAGCTAGTTCACCTTTTGTAGTTTTAAAGGGCAAATTCTTCTTATGATAGATATAATGTAATTCTTAGTTCCTCTACTACTCATGGTTTTAAATCACAAACTCATGGTTTTTAGTTCTCATTCTGCAAGGTGCTTCTTTTTAGTTCCTAGGAGCTCTGGAATGGAAGAAGGGGCGTGGCTGGGAATGTGTGTTGGCTGTCATTGGGATGTGCAGCACTAAGTGTCAAATAAATTGCTGAGAAGCATGGGGTTGTACGAGATGGGTCTGATGGGAGCAACTTGCTTTGCTCTGCTGCTCCAAGTTGGGTCTAAGATCTCAAAGAATCCGAAGTCTACTATTTAGATCCTCCAGTCTGTCACTGTAGTCCCTTGACAGTTGTTTCATCACCTTGTGATCACCTAGGCTCAGGAATAATTCCACGATGAACACATTCATTCCATAAACCAAACTGATCTTGCAAGCTGAACTCAAGAGTAAACATTAGAAATTTTTCTCTTTTCTTATAGGAAAATAGTAGTTGTAAGAAAAAGATGAAACTATATATAGTTCACAGATAAGTATCTACACAGTGCCAGAGCTACCCTGGGGGAGCCACTTTGCTAAAAAGCCAGATAAAATCCATTTAACTGCCTCAAAGACACTGACTAGAGCTGCAATAAATATGAAGCCACACTGAAGTAAAAGTAGAGGCAACAAATTAATAAACTGGCTTGAAAGCTCATACTTTCACATTACACTTTAACTTCCAGGTCTGTGGAGCACTTACTCAGGAGATAGCCAAGATCTTGCCACCTAGCTTTAGAGTGGAAAATAACCTCATTTAGTACTTTCCAAGATCACTTTCCTACAGAAGAGCCACAATTCCTGCCAGAATTCGAGTGTTGTTATAAAACCTGCATTATATCAGACACAACTACATGGAGATTTAATTAATGAATCGATCTTTTTTTCCCTTTAATTTGGAGAGATTGGCTACCTTCTCCAGTCTATAGCTGCTGGTAATCAAACAACACACAATCATAATCAAGAATGTAAAGCAGCAAGTCTGACAGCAACAGACAGTAGTAAACATTTCCAAACACTTCTGTCAAAAAACAAAACAAAACAAAAAAAACAAAAAAAAAACCCCAGGAAATCAAGAATAGAAATGAAGCCATTGTTTGGATGCTGGAATAAATATGTTTTACCTTGACCAACAATGCTGCCAAGTACCTCGCAGGTTGTAAGGACCCAAGCCTTAGAGCACATGGGCTCTGGGGGCTGCGGGAGTCCTGGGCTGGATCAGCGGAGGGACAAGGCTGTGGCTGATTATCTTTGCTCTTAGCAGCACTTATGTTGTGGCAACAAGAAAAACAATTGGTTCTGGCAAATAGGAAGGATACAAGGGGCCAAACAGGGCATTTGTGAACAGTCTAAAGTGAATGCTTTCTGCAACTTCAGGACTGATAATGAATTAACATTTCTGGGGGAAAAGTAAGCTCAGGATGGAGACAGAGATTTAAGCTATTTTTCCAGAAAGAACAAGAGACAGAATTCTCTTAAACATTTTGAAACTTTAGGTGATGCAATTTTTGAAGTTAACTTGAAATGTTTAAGTGCACAAGTCATTATAAACCAGTTTCTGCATGACAGCCCTTGGGAAAATTATGGATATAATCTAGAAGATTCTTGTAAGAGATTTTTGTATTTGGGTGCTCAGACCTATCCCTAGAGACCCCAAAGAGATCTGTTAGGTGTCATGCTGGTTATTTCACTTATTTTCATGATGGAAACCTCACTGGTCTCTTTGGGAGGGAAACTACACTGATCATGAAGAAGCCAGTGTGGTGTGATTATTTTACATCTATAAATCCAATTACAGAGAGGAGGAGAAAATATCAAGCCCCAAAAAGATACGTGTAAACACACCTACAAAAACGCATGTGTATGTCCATATGTGTACCAAATGTGTTTTTTAACTTGACGCTGTATTTGTTTACCTGTGCCTTTCATAGCACTTGACATACATGCTAAGTATCTAGTATCTGTCCTTTGCTGACAGTCATTAATACAGAACTCCAGGCTTCAGTGGGAAGAGAGGTGTAATGTGCTCACCACTGAGATGGGTATATAATTTGAAGTATTAAACAGCTTGATAGCTCTAGCTGGAAACTTAGAAAATTATGACAGTTTCATTTTTAATCCAATGAAAGTGCTGAGGAATTATATGTTGGCTACTCTGTCTGACGGCCCTTAAGAAAAATAATCCCTTTTTTTCATGCCTTTATGCAGTTAAAGAGCTGTAGTGCTGGATGAGTACGTATGGGTATGGAGTATGGATATGAACTATGACAGAGTGTTGAAAGGAAACAAAGTAGGACTGAAGTTGGATTCTGCTACAGAAGAAAGTTTAGCTTTCTAAAGAAATAAAAACCATGTTCACAGTTAAAAAAATGTGAACAGTAAAGAAAAGGTAATGAGTTTCCTTACTTTTGTTTTTAAATCTCTTCTCCCTTCAACCATTACTTTAATACACTTATTTCTAGATGTACCCACTCTAGACTTACCTAGATTTCTGATAAGAAACATGAGTGGTAAGATATTTAATGTAGTGCTGATGGAGGAAAAGAACAGAAAAGTTGAAACGGACACATCACAAGAGAATCTGACTCACATAAGGAGGTCAGGGTAGAAGGGATTAGTACAGCCATTGACTCAGCTATAGGAACTAAGATCCTGTGTCAATGGCTACACCACAAGGCACCCAAGCAGGTGCAGACTGCTATAGGGAGTGTCACTAGCACAGCCCCCGATGTAGAGTGGCAGGAGCACAGGTGGAGGTGAGGATATGGAGATTGAGAGCCACTGCAGAATCTCTGCTACCTTTCAAATTCTACACAGATATTCAAAATCAACAAAAACAAACCATTCCACAGAGATGAGCCCTACCTTACTGGAAGATGATAAAACATAAGGCAGCCTATCCTTCCTCCTTTTCCCTTGGCTTAATAAACCTGCTCTTTGGATAACGAAGTCCCTGGTCTTGTGGAGAAACACACCTGGGAAACTTGCCAGTGCTGCTGAGAGGGAGCCCTGGTGAGACTTTTCCTAGAATGAATCCGAGGACCCCATTCTCCAAACCAAACAACTCCAAACAATGACTTAACTTAAGTGACATCCCTCTTCTAAGTTTTTTTTTTAATTGAGAGCTATAGGCATTTTACTTAAAAACAAATCCATGGAGGTAACATTGGTTTATAACATTGTAAATGATTCAGACGAATAGGTCACCCCTCCTCAGACACGTTCCCACAAGGCACCCACAGTTACCACCATGGTATACCTTCTGTAGTCTCACGTTGCAGAGATTCGTAGGGTTTGCTTTTGGTTTGGTTGATCCTTTGTTTTGTTTCCCTAGTTCTATTATTAATCATCCTCTGACAATATCTTTTCTTTTACACTACATAGATATCATGAAGAAACACATCTACCTATTCTGTCCCTCTGCTTTCCCTGCCTCTAGCATACATAAACTCTGCACGGCTATACCTGTCATTGCAATACTGAGTGATAGAAGTAAGACTCATCTGCTATTTAGGTTCTGCTGAATAATTATAAATGAGTCATCCTCATTTATATTAATTTAATAACTTAATTTTTGTGTCTGTAAGCCAACTATAAACCAATGCCAGAATTATAATGTTATAACTATAAATGTGAGTCACTAAAGAACAAGGCAGAGGAACTAAACCTGTGTAGAGGGAAATGTCACTAAACCTGAATAAAGGCAAGCGTTCCTGGCATCTGCGTCAGATGGATTCTCATGCTCTGATTTCATCATGCCTTAGGGGAAGGCAAGCTACAGGCTCACCCGTTGCAAGGAATGACTGTGATTTTTGGAAAAGAAAATGCTAAGTGCATTAAATGCATGGAAAAATATATATGTAAATTACAATGTATATAAACAGTTTTAAGCATTAAAATGAGTTAACTGTGAAAACATCTTTAGGCAAGCCAATGAGACACTAACAGTCAACTCAAAAGAATCCAGAAACCTCCAAGGCATGCATTCTCTTTCTGCCCTCTCTGATAGCTGCCTAAGAATAGGATTTTGTGTAAATTTTCTCTCTTCTTCATACCATCAGGGACTTATTAGTAAATAAAATATTCCTTAGTTTAGTCTGATTTTAAATTTCATGTAAGTGGAATCGATGAGTCTTATTTCTATCACTCAATATTACAACATTTATATTGACCTATCACAGCTATAGCTTTGATTTGTTCATCTTCACTGTGGTTGCCCTCTGACCATTAAAACTTATCATTATTTTCTTGTTCATGCTATCCCTGATGGACATTTAGGTTTTCTATTCCTTATCAATGATGAAATTACAAACATTTATGATATACTTTCTTGTACACAAGCTAGTAGTTTTGGGCTGCATGGTTTACTATGTTCAACTTTGTGAAGGATTCCTTAACTGATTTACAAACTAACTTATGTTCACACTTAAGTTTTTTTTTTTCTTCTAATTTAACAATAGAAAATGTATTTTCTATTGTTAAATTAGAAGTGTCTTTCAATCCTGGAAAATTTCAGCCGTTAGCTGCTATAATACTTTTCTCTGTGTCTTATCTCTTTCTAGAATTCTAAATATTCTACATATATGTTAGGCCCTCTTACTTCATACTCCGTGTTTCTTTTCTTTTTCACTACAAAAGGGCAGATTTATTAGGAAAAGGGAAAGGTTTGGTAGAAGATACCTACATAGCCACAGGCTGGAATATGTTTCTTAACTTTCACTTTATACTTTCTGTTTCTGTCTAATCTACACTGCCTCTTATTAACTTCTTAACTTAAATTTCCCAATTTATTTTTTTCCTTTAGCTACCTTGTGGTAAACTTGATCAAAGAAATTTTGTTACTATTTTTTTTCTATTTCTAGAGGTTCTGTTTCTTCTTCGAGTCTTGTTCTTTTTCACATTGTGTGAAAAAGTGTGCTTATGGTGAGACTGTCTTGGACTCACCCTATTTAAAACATGGTTTTTATCAGAGGAAATTGGTCTAAAAGTAATTGTAGATCTAGTGTGTCTGTGGGGAGAAGTGGGTTCAGGGTCTACCTAACCATCTTGATTAAGAACAAGAATCCTATTATTTAGTCTTCGTTTTCTTTGCTTTCTTTTTCTGGTATTCCAGTTAGCTGGACTTTCCACCCTGACTGATCGATCTTCCACGTATCTTAATTGTTGTAGTTTCCATCTATCTTTTATAGTTAGAAAAGTTCCCAATCTTATATTCCAGACTTTCTATTAAATTTTAAGTTTTGTTGACTTAAAAAAAAATTCCTGTGCGTATTTAGTCTATATTTCATACCAATCAGTTCTCTTTTACTTTAACACAAATAATTTAAAATCATTTTGAGGACTTTTACTATACTTGAGTTAAGTATGTATTTCCTCTGGATGAATCTTTATTTTTGGTGCTTGTGATGAAATAGTCACCCTTTTTCAATGATAACAGGCTGGTTAATAATGGTAATTGGTGTGGATTTCATGTATTAATATCTTTTTAAATAAAGAGTTATTTTATTATTTACGCATATAAGAACTTGGGTGTAGTACAGAGTTGTATGGTGGTGGCAGGGGCATGAGAAAATTCACCAGAGACAGAGTCGGGAGAACAGGCAGACTGACTGAAATACACTGCTGAGGGGAATACCAGGCGAGAAAGGCGAGGTTTGTTGTGCTATGTGGGCAGCTCCCTGCCATGGGACATAATTCAGGTCACAGTGGCTGGTGATAGTTGACAGTGCTGAGACTATAACCCCTGCACCACCAGGGAGTTCCCTGTATTAATATCTTCCTTAACACACTTCTCACTTGTATGGAAGAGCCATTTTTGAGCTGTTCATAAATGGATATGGGTATACTGACTAAAACGTATCATTTAGGGTTCAGAAGAGGCAAACTGAGAGGCTTGACCCACCTCTTACTCTGCAACAAAAAAAGGAGAAGTATTTTGCTCTGGGTATGTAGCATTTTTGTTTATTGCCTTCATGAGAAAAGTTGACTCTTCTTTATACCTATATATATCTATTTTAACATCCGTTATTGTCTCCGAACCTACTCTACTTCTGTGGGAAATGATGGTGGGATAAGCTCTCATGAAGTTTCAAATGTATTATAATCTATACAGAATCCTCAGATTTTTAAATAGGAAGATTTCCTTTTTATAGATGTGTTTGGAGTTTTGGGAAGATTCTGAAAAATATACAAATAAGAACCGATTACAAATTTCCTTAGACAATGAAATGTCACAGACAGGTGTCTCTCATATTGCATAGACAGTGGACATGCCTTTATTGTTAAATTGCAGTGTGGGGGCCTCACTGGTGGGGCAGAGGGTTAAGTCTCAGCACTATGAAGCTATCCATAGCCACTGCAGTATGAGTTCCATCCCTAGCCAGGGAAATGATCCACATGGTGCGGCAGACCTCTCCTGTCTCGCCAGTTGCTCCCCTCAGCAGTATATTTCAGTCTGTCTGCCTATTCTGCTCCCCATTTTGTCCCTGGTGAATCCTCTCACCTCTCTGCACCTCTGTCTTACACCCCAGCTCTTGTATGCATAAATAAATAAATCTTTAAAATAAATAAATTTCAGTGTGAGCATGTAAATATTATGAAATGCTGTAAAATTATTCCAGACGCATATAAAAATCATAGCATATAGTTCTTGGACAATAATTCAATTTCACAGTAAAGTAATAGAAACAACTTTCAGATCAAGGTGGTGGGATAGAAATCTATTATCTTGGGGGTAGATATTCTTAAATTCGAATCCCAGCTGTTGTCTTTTTTTTCAGTCATGTGACTTTGAGCTAGTTATTAACCTCAGAATCTCAAGTTCATGTACCAAATGGATGATAAAGTACACCTTATATAGACATTGTTAGGATTAAGTGAAATAACATATGTCAAGGTGCTGACGCATAAGAGACTCAACAGTTATTCTTTTGTTCTCTGTGTTAAAGACTTCCAGCTGAGAGAAGGTGCATTGATTCATCTACTATAGCTTCCCTTATTGAAACTGAACAATTTAAATCCAGATGAAAAGAAACTGTGAGAAAAGTAACAGTAACTTTTCAGTAAGCTTGTCTTCATTATATGTAACGTACACCTAATTAACTTAAAACATGCATTTCTTCTGATACTCTTTCAATATTTTCTTTATTATTCAATTTATTATTTTCTTTAGATTTCAAGTCCCTTGGAATTTCATTTCTTCACTGGTGCCTGTGCACTCAGCAAATTCCCAAAGAGGGAAAACTAAGTAATACTTCCTATGCACCATTATGCAATTACCTGTTATCCTGACCTTTCTTTGTCTGTGCATTACAAGTGTGGGGCTTCCTAACACAGCTGTCTGGATGTGTTTTCTGTCAAACAATTCTGCCTTCGTATGGTTCTACAGGCGAGACTAAGTTCCAAAGAACGTTTACTAGCGCAGAATGATTTCATGTTCAGACATAGCTTTATAACTGGCCTGTGCCGCACTCAGTTGACTGAGTCTGGAGACAAAGCCCAGGTTTGTGGTGATCTTCCATGACATGAATAGAGTACTGTATGCATTCTTAATGCTCAAGAAAAGTTAATATCAATCAGTGCAAAAAAAGAGAATTAAAACACTACTACATGAAGTGAATATGTGCTTGGCTTTTGGGAAAGATTCTGAAAAGTTCCAATAATACTGCCCATGTATTTTATTAGATACCAGACTCAATAAGGAAACTCCTTCCTAATTACTCTAGCCTTTCTCAGGACAAGGTCATGGTTTCTTCATGGATTCCAAGACCGTTTATCTTGAGGTCTTCTGATTGGTATTCTTTGTATATTCACTTTCTTTCAATTAATGTACCTTATTAGTCACCATTAAAATTTTCCACCCTCCATAATATTAATAGGAACCAAATCTGATAAAACATAATGTTCTTTCTTCTTAGGATCACTTGAAATTCACCATTTTATATACTTGTTCTTCTTTCTTTCAATAATGATAGGCAAATACCAAGAACCTTATCCATTTCAGCAGTACTTGACTAACTAGCCACCTTTGATCTGCCCTTGATTTTGCTTTTAGGTAAAATTCTTTGAAATCTACTGTCTAATGCATCCATGTCTCTCTTCCTGGATCTCCCTCCGCAACCTTTCCCTTGAAACCATATGAAGGTGTAGAGATAAGAGTTTCTTACTTGGATTATTGTGTCCTGAGGAAACAAGCTGAGAGTCCTAAAAGAACAAAAATAAGAATTAATTTTCTCATTTTGACTTTCAACATTTAAGTTGAACATGAGATATATATTACATGTCATCATAGCATAATCACAGATCATAATTTATACCAAATGCTATAATGACAAACACTTACATGAATGTGCTTATCAAGCAGTTTTGATGACAGAGATCACAATCACTTCTCTTTTCTATTATTGACTTTGTTTTCTTTATTGAGATGAAATTCATATACCATATGATAAAGCATTTTCAAGTGTGTGGTTCACTAGCAGTTAGTACATTCAGAATGCTGCACAACTACCATTTCTACCTAGTAGCAAAGCACTTCCATCATTTCAAGATGAAGCTCCATACCCATTGAGAAATATCTCCCTATTCCATCTTCTCCTCAGTCCCTGGCAACCACCAACTTCATCCAGTCTCTATGAATTTATCTATTCTGGGAATTTATCTATATCTTTTTTCTTTTTAGTAGAATATCATACTACATGTGGTCTTTTGTATTTCTCTTATTTCACTTAGAATAATGTCTTGAGTTCATACATGTCATAACAGGTATTAGTACTCCATTCTTTTGTATGGCTGAATAATATTCCATTTTATGTACGTTATATGTAAACTGACCAAGGTGGTATCTGTGATAGTGGGGAGAGAGCATTTGATACAGGATGTATTTTGAAAGTAATGGAGAGATGATTTGATGACATATATAGTATGAAAAAAGAATTAAAAATGGGTACTAGGTTAAATATTGTACCCACAAAACTCATGTTCATTCATGACCTATGAGTTTGACTTTATAGAATATAAAGACTTTGGGGGAAAAAATCAAGTAAAAATGCGGTCATACGATCAGGGCGGGCCTTAAGTTTAATGCTTCTGTCTTTTAAAGAGGAGGTAGATATGGTCAGGGAGCCTGGGAATGTGGAGGCAGAAATTGGAGTGATGTAGCTGCATGCCACGGAATGTGATGGGAGAAACTAGAAGGCAGGAAAGGTTTCTTTCCTAGAGACTTCAGAGATAATACAGCCCTAATGAAACCCTGATCTCGGACTCTCCCCAAATGGGACAGTGTAAGTTTCTTTTAAGGGATCTATTTTTGTGTCTTTTGCTGCAGGTGCCCAGGACAATGAAAATGTTAGGGTTTTAACATCTGGACTTGAGTCAACTGCAAAAATGGAGGAGCCATTGAGAAATAAGGGGTTGGGGGGGGAAGGTTTGAGACAGAATTAAAAGTTCAGTTTTTGGTACTACATGCTTGAGATGTTTGTTAGTATCCAAGTGAACATGCTGAAATATAAGTATGGAGTTTAGGAAAGGAAAATGGTGCTACAGATAACAATTAGATGAAATCACCTGAGGAGTGAACGGAGAAGTGGTAGAGTTAAAAATGGAACATGTATGTTTGAAAACACTAAAGAGGAAAAAAGGAACAGACAAATATTAATTAACCCAGCATAAGGATGGAAAGAGACTAAAGGAAAAGAAGCAAAAACTGTTAGTAAAAGTTATGACATTACTTGTCAGGAAAAAGCCCAAATATATCTCCATTTCTAATCAAAGTAATACATTTAAATTCCCCAAAAGATAGAAATTCTGAGACTAGGAAAAATGTAAAAATCTAGCGTCATGTTATCTTTTCGCAACTCAGAATCATTTGGTCCTTTTATATATTTTTCCCCATTTTGTAATTGCTGGGAGGGATGAAATTTATGTGGGTTCTAGCTTAGATTTTGCTAATGAGATGCCTTTAAGATCTCTATTGGAAATAAGAATATAATGCTGAATGTAGGAATAAGAATGATGTATCTATTTAAAAACTGAAAATAAACAAATTACTTTTCTATACTAAAAACTGAGAAACAGCCACAAAATGTAAATAAAAGCAAAGGAAAGGGCCCTCCCTGGTGGCGCAGCGGGTTAAAGCACTGTACTGAGAAGCTAAAGCCACTTCAGCATGAGTTCGATTCCCGCCTGCCCTGGAGGAGACCACATGGCGTGGCAGATCTCTCCTGACCCGCCCGCTGCTCCCCTCAGCAGTGTACTTCGTTGATCTGCCTGTTCTGCTCCCCACTCTGTCTCTGGTGAAGTCTCTCACTGCCCCTGAGTCTCTGGCCTGTACCCCAGTTCTGTATGTACAAATAAATAAATCTTAAAAAAAAAAAAAAGCAAAGGAAGAAATACACAGAGAAAAGTAAAAAATTAATAAAAATAGAAGCTTACAGAACAGATTTGATAATGCCTGATATTGAAACTGAACAAGCATACACAAAAAAGATAACTAGTCCTAGTGAAACAGCATATTAAGTCCAAAAGTATACTTAATGAGCAATATACCATAATTAAGGAAATCTGGATAATAATACTAGGAACTTTCGTATTTGCTCCTTCTATTTGCATACACTTATCTTTATAATAAGTGTGTGGTTATATATTCTCAAAAAGGTTCAAAAAGAAAATAAAGCCATAATAATTTAAGCACACTTTGTGTCTGATTTTTGTGGGCTTGTTTTTAGAAAAATATAGTACATTTTAAGCTTTATAAAAGACAAATAGGATTGTAACATCAAATGTTACATGCCTTCAATTCTAAGATATGCATTTTAAATACATCATTAATTTAATAACAGCTTTTCATGAAAAAAATATATAATCACATTGTAAGAGAATAAAATGACCATAAGCTGCATTTCAACTTCACAAATGTTAGATTAAAATGACAAGTCTATCATGCATCACATTTTGCAGAAAATATAGAAGTGTAGATAAGATCACAAGCTTGAATTTCTCCTTATCATGAATAAGTACACATTTGCAAATTGTTGAAAATCAGATCCATACGCCTTTGGCTGGAATATTTACAGAAGCAAAGATAACCAAGGTAAGCCCATCAGCCACTAAAAATCTCTGAGAGAATAAAGCATATTCCTCCTAAGTTATGTAAGGTCTCACCTTATTTGGAAATGGAAATTTGCTTGTTTCCACTTTGCTAGGTGCTTGAATAGCAGAAAGCGGTGGGAGCCAGGTCATCTCCTAAAGGGAAGGAAAACAAACAATACTGTTAACACAGTATTTAAAGGTAGTAGCATAGAAAGCAGCTCCATCCACATAGAAGCCTGACTTGATAAGTCGTGGAAGGCATAAGGAATGAATAATGGGTAAATTAAGGATAAAAGGAATTTCTTAAAAAAAACCATGAAGCCCACTTTTCTTTTCCTAATTTCACAAATCTTGGTCTCATGGTTGTGCCCAGACCCACTTTATTCCTTAAAAAGATTCAGACGGCTATCCTATTTTCACTTCATTTAAGTTCCCACGTAAAGGGACGTCAGACTTACAAAGGTTCTATGGAAAAATGCCATACAAATGTGGTTGTTTCTCTTGGATTTGATCCCACAAAATTCACAGGGTGTTTCTGAAGGAATGCATGAATGCTTTTAACTTGAGGGACCATTATTACAGAATTTATTTATTTTATTAGAAACTCATTTTAGTATGAGTTTTCAATAAGCCTCACATATCACTTTGGTCTCATAAATATGTCATTTATGGAGTAGTGAAAAAAGAAATCACATATGAAATAGAGAGAGAGAATGGTGTCATTTGTATAACACAGTATAAAGAACCCAACCTTAGCTCCACATACAACAATCATAGGCACTTTGAATGAATGAATACAAGTGATTGCTTAATATTAGAAGAGTCTGAGCATCTTTTTTTTTTTTAGACATTTGGTGATAATTTTTTTGACCATAAATATGCTGTATAAACTTAACTCTTGTTTACATCAGTAGTCTATAGAAAAAGTAATTTTGTTATATGTTGCTTGGTTTAGAGTCACAGTTTTCAAGAATCTACTGACATCAAGTAAGAACTTACTGTATTTGTTTTAATACAGCCTCATCAGTCCCACTGTCCTAAGCAAATATTTAGTTACCCAAAGGTATTTTTCAAGGTGACTTCTTATTTCTCAGATAGGCTTAACATGCCAAGTCGTTTTAGAGCAAATACACTCAATTTTCTCCTAAATGAAAGAGCAGATGGTTAAATAAGGATATAGAATAATGCATTACATTAACTACCCATTATTTTTTCCTTTATCCATCATGCACCAGTTTTCAGGAGGCCATAGAACCATGGCCAAGCAGCATGTTGATCATTTTCATGTCTATTTTATAGCAAATTTGACCATGACTTCCAAAAGTCAAAGCTTTAAGTTAAGTAGATTTTACTAATTTACACAACTCAGGTCTCCCTCCATGTAGCTACCCACTTACTCTGTTGTCACCTGCTTCAGTGCTGAAGGCTTAGGGCATCTATTCATTAAGCACCATACATTTTTGTTGATAGGGGAAAAATGAATTTTAGCCTGAAATCTAATCTTAGCATTTAAAATGTGCAGTTATGAATATCTATGAAATATATACAGCTTGCAAATAGGTTAACTGAAAATTTAAGTTTTCTATTATAATCAGTGAATGAAGAAATGCCTGAAGAATTTCCCTTGTCTCTCTTCCTGTCTACTATCCCCCAACTGTAATCTCTCTTGGTCACAGCTATAGAAGTTCTTTATCTAAAATAGTTACTACTCTTCCTTTGCTCCAAAGCTAGCATAAGTACTCAAGATCCTCAGTCTTATGGTGCCATCAAGAATTCTTCAGGACCCTGGTGAAGTGACAGCAGAGTGAAGATGCTGGGCTCACCTCCTCCACCAACTTACAACTAGATTGCAGCAAAACAAAGTCAATAACCCCTGAAGGAAAATCAATGACCACGGTACACACTAGGAGCAATGGTCCAGCAGAAAGAGATCAGAGAATCTTTGAATTATTGGGGTGGCTGCTGTGCAGAACTTCCTATAGTTGCTGACTCAGGTTCACATAACAATGGGGATTCTTGAGGTCTGACACTGCAATGGATCAAGGGGCTGGCATTCAAGACAGAGTACAAGGATGGAGAGCCAAGGGGCGAGATACAGAGGGAAAGCAACTAGCTTGAGCCTGAGGCTCTTAATTCAAAAAGAGCTGTGGTCTGAACTAACAGGGAGAAATAGGGCAGATCACTAGTGTCTCCTCATAGAAGACACTGCTGAGCTAAGGTTGGGATATTCAAAACACTTATCACACCCTCTTAGGGCTAAAACTAAAATATCAAGTGAATATTGGCCTAAACCAGAGCTTGTGTGCCTAAGGAGAAAGCAATTCAGTATAATTCTCTGTGTTGGAATAGAAAAGATAACAACTTATGGCCTAGACTATACTCCAATGTTTTAGATTTTATGATTTGGAATTAATTTAAAAAATGGAGTTAAATGATCTATATAAGGAGAACTACAGCTGCTACTAAAGTATCTAGATAGCAACATGAGTCAGAAAGATGTTCCATGCTCATGGATAGGGGAAATCGATATAATCAAAGTGTCTGCTTTACCTAAAATGATATATAAATTTTATACACTCCCAATCAAAATACCAGTAATATTTTTCAAGGAAACTGAATAAAAAATATGGAAAGTTATATAGAACCACAAAAAGTCTCAAGTTGCAAAATCAACCCTGGAACAAGGGAGAGAAATGGAAGTACCACGTTATCTGATTTCAAACTTTACTATAAAGCATCAGTATTAAAAATAATATGGTATTAGCACAAAAATGGATGCATGACCCAGTGGCATAGGTCCAATGCCCAGAAACACCTTCACAAACATATGGCAGCTATGACTACACAATGAGGAAGGACATTCTCTTTAATAAATGATGCTGGGGAAATTTGAAAGTCATGGGTAAAAGAATGAATCTGGATCACTTGCTAACACCATATACAAAAATAAATTCCACATGGATCAAGGATTTAGGAATAAGACATGCAAAAATAAAATATATAGAAGAAACACTGGTTATATATTCTATGATCACTGATGAAAATCTTTTGGATTTTGACCTCTGTATCAAGGGAATTAAAAACAAAAATAAGCAGGGCCCTCACTGGTGGCACAGCAGGTTAAAGCACAGCACTGAGAAGCTAAAGCCACTTCTGCAGGAGTTCGATCCCCACCTGCCTGGGAGGTGATTCCACATGGCATGGCAGACCTCTCCTGGCCTACCCACTGCTCCCCTCAGCAGTGTACTTCATCGATCTGCCTGTTCTGCTCCCCACTCTGTGTCTGGTGAATCCTCTCACCACCCCTGCACCTCTGGCCTGTACCCCAGCTCTGTATGCATAAATAAAAATAAATCTTTAAAAAACAAAACAAAACAAAAAAACAAAAATAAGCAGCTGGAATTACCTCAAATTAAAAAGGTTTTATAAAGTGAAAGGAAATACAAGAAGAGTAAAAAGGCCCACCATTGAATGGGAGAAAATAATCACATAATATAAAACTGCTGAGTTGTAAATATCCAAGATTTATGAAAAAAAAAAAAGTCCAGTTAAATAACAGAAAACTAAATGACATAATTATTAAATAGTCATTTATCAAAAAGGCCTAGAGACATCAGAGAAAATACTGATTACTTCTCGGTCTTTTGGCTAAGATCAAGTGAAAAAATATTTATCATTGCTTCTAATATGAGCGATGTAGGCTAAAACCACAATGAGATTCTATCTCATGCCTGTGAGACTGCAGAGATTTGAAATCTTCACCAACAAGTGCTGGACAGTTTATGGAGAAAAATGTACCCCATTACACTGTTGGTGGGTATGTAAACTGGTGCAACTTCTATGGAAAGCAATCTGTGTTTACATTAAAAAACTAAAAATGGAAATACCATATAACCCAGCAATCCCTATCCTGGGTATCTATGCAAAGACAATGGAACCATCAGTGCAAAAAGCCTGTGTGTTCCACAACATTCATAGCAGCACTATTTAAAATAGCTAGGATTTGAGAGCAGCATGGAAAGTCATCAATAGGTGACTGGATTACTATGTGGCATATCCACAATATTCAGCCACAAGGAAAGATGAAAGTCAGTCATTTTCAAAAAAATGGGAGTCTCCAAGAATTATATATAGTAAAACAAATCAGAAACAAATATTGTACATATACACAGTAGAGGACCAGATAATGTAAAATATTTTTTAAGAAAGCCAGTGAACATCAATAAATACCATGAGGTCTCTAAAGATGGAAGGGGTCTGGAAAAGGATAGGGGATTGAAAATAAAATTGTGCTCTGTTACTCTTACATTTCTATACTGTCCTCCCCCAAGCAGGATGGATTTACTTCTTGTCTTGCTGCCTGTTCTCCTACCCCAATATTTCTTGATTTTCCTTGGATATTATTCCAAATCACTCACTTCCTGGTCTCTATGAGGTAATGCTCTCTCTGAGTGCTATGCCTTGTACTCTCCTTATCACATGGTCTTTTTTAAAAATTATTATTATTATTTTATTTTATAACAGTTTATTTTTACATCATTTCATACATTTTTTTCCCATCTCAATTGCAATCCCTGCAGGTTTCCCATCACCAAGCCACCCATTTGCCATCACCATAATCCCGTGAACTTCCCTCCCCACTCCCCCATTTTGATCCCATTCCCCACTCCACCCCTACAAAATGTCTCTGGTATATGG